GTTTTTTTGGTTTAAATATTAAACAATCAATGCTATAACTATGAAGAAAACTAAATTTTAAATTCAAATTAAAGATAATAGTTTCAATGGACTTCACATACAAAATTAATCTTAACATGGGGATTTTGAGAGATAAAACATGACGTTATGTTCTACGCCCCTTTGTGTTTGAATGAACACTTGACGGCTTGTTGAAGCCGTCATGTAGTAATCATGCCTAAATGCTGATGTGTAATTAACTTCACCCCATACTTTAATAAATATTTCTCAACGTTACATATTTATATTTACAAACTTTAGAACATATGCGGAGGTCTTTAATGAAGTTTAATATCATTAACACCATGCTAATGAGTTGAGGGAGAACATTAAAGACGTACACACTGAATTTAACCTAGAAGTAAAAAAATGTCTGTCAGTACGACCATAACGAACTTGCTGGGAAATAAAATTGAAAATTCTGAACATTTGTCAGAACAAGTGATTATGAAGTATAGCTTTAATCTATTTATATAAAAGAGTTGCGTTATAAGTGACTGACTGATCATCAACGCCCAGACGAAACGGCTAAAGCTAGAAACTTGAAATTTGGCATGTAGGTCCGGTTTGGTGCGTAGGCGTGTGATAAGGCGGGATTTTTGGAAATTCGTACTAAAAGGTACTAAAAAGTACTAAAAACTGTATTACGCGGGAAGGGTTAGATGTAGAACTTTGAAATTTGGTACGTAGCTTTGTATAAGACGAGCAAAGAGGAATGTGTGAAAAAAAAATTGGAATTTAGTACTAGAAGGTACTAAAAAGTACTAAATATTATATTTCATTGGAACCGGTGGAGATAGATATCTGAAACATGGTATGTAGCTTAAGCTATTACAAATAGAATGATGTGCAAACATTTTTTTTGGAAATTAGTACTTAAAGGTACTAAAAAGTACTAAAACTGTATTACTCCGGAATGGTTGGAAGTAGAACTCTGAAATTTGGTATGTAGCTTTGCCTATGATAAGCCAAGTGGTGCGTTGGAAAATTTTTTGAAATTTAGTTCTAATAAGTAGTTTTTTTGGAAATTAGTACTTAATAGTACTAAAAAGTACTAAAACTATATTACACCGGAACGTTAGGAAGTAAAACTTTGAAATTTGGTATGCAGCTTTGTCAATTATAAGCGAAGGGCGATGTGTGAACAAATTTTGGAAATTAGTACTTAAAGTACTAAAAAGTACTGAAATATGGTATGTAACTTAATCTATTACAAATAGAACGATGGGCAAAAATATTTTGTTGGAAATTAGTACTAAAATGTACTAAAAAATTATGAATATTGAATTACAATAGAACCGATAGAGATAGAAATCAGGAACTTTGTATGCAGCTTTTACTATTACAAAGTACTAAAGTGTTGATAAAAAGTACTAAATAAAAAATACAATGGAGCCGATATCTGAAATGGTACTAAATATTAAATGACAACTGAAACGGTGTAGATTAAAAATTGAAATATATATTATTGGAAATAAGTACTAAATAGAAATATACTAAATATTTGTACTAAAAGTGGGAAAAGTTAGTACGCAAACATAATAGTATAGTAATGAAGTTTTTTATTAAAAGGGTTCCAAAATGCCTGGAAACTACAAAATTTGTATTGAGCGATTAGAAGTGGTAGAGTTTGGAATTCGTGTATGTGGCTTCTAAAATACAAATATAATTATTCCCAGCGCCATCAACAAGTTTATAAGGATAGAAATTAGCATTGCCTAATATACCAAGAAGTTGGTAAATTGCACTTAAAGGTACCAACAAGTACTAAATATTGGGTACGGTAGAACGGATAAAGATACGAACCTGTTATTAAATACTTATCTGGAACTATAAGGACAAACATTTATACATAACTGCTTTCCAGCAATAATTTTTAAAAGTACAACACATTGTATACGGCGGTACGGGTGGAGATAGAATTTGGTACAAGTCTTTTTGTATTACAAACAATGTTTTCGCAGTTTAGTACTTAGGGTTCTAAATATTGTGTACGACAGAACGGGTAGAGATAAAGTGCTGACATTTTGTTTGTATAATCCAAAATCTGATCTAAAAACGTTGACAGTTACATGAAATATAGTTTCCAATCCATAGACTTATAGTACTGCGAATGATTTTAGAATTTTACAAATAAGTGAAACAAGGCACTGAACAACGCAAGTACTAAATTGTTGACACTTTTAAACGCAAATATTTCTAAGATTTCTACCATAACAGTACTGACGTTTATTTCTAATGATGTTTCCAACCCCACTTACGCGAATATTATGGTGTGATGAGAAATGTTGAACATTAATACCGTTGAATTTGAGAAATATATGAAAATGAGTAAAGTTTTCTCTATATAGTAAAATTCAAGCACCAACGCTAATTAAGCCTATGTTCGAAGACTAAGATCTAAGATTTTTTTTTTTAAATTAAGGCATAGGAGCTATCCAAAAGTGTGGAGATTATTAAACAAGTTTAAAATGTGATATGGGTCATTGTAAGTACATACTTAGAAATGCATAAATCTGTATAAAGTTATATTGTGTAGCTAAATCAATGTTTATTTTAACTATAAAATATAAGTTTTTTTGGAAAGACCCGCTAACGACGTAGCGGGCATATGCTAGTAGATATATAATTTGGTTCGATTTCATGTGTATGATTCACCAATAATTCTAAGTCTATTTGATCGGCATACAACCAGAGTCGATTTAAATCTGGGATATCATGAATGCTAGGTTTCGTGTATTAATTCCTACGACACGATTTTACCAATCAATTGTACTACTCGGTTTGTATTATTATATTCTTATTATCATTTTATATTCTCTTATAATTTTTTATTATTGCAGTTCTTAATACTTTAGAAACACTTGCAGATCAACATAATTCTTTGGAAAATAACAAAATAGCTAAGAGGTAATAGGTCAAGTTCGACGATTAGTCAATGTTTCCGCATAGGTACTTATGCTAACAAAACGTGTAGGTTTTTCAAAGTTGTAAACGTCACATACCTTAATAAAATGTAATAAATGTATCAAAGATCATTTATATAAATACATTTACCAAATAAAGTTATTTTCAAGAATATGTAATTTTTTTTACATTTATACGATTATTCAGCTTGACAATAACCCCCAAACATACCAAAGATTGGTTGTCCAAGATTGGTTGTGAGAGTAAGAAATTAGGGTTTTGTCTAACATAATCATCAGATCTTTGCCCTATAGAAAAATGTTTGGATTATCATGGATTTCAAAATCAAAAGAGTTTCACAAACAAACAGAATTAGCCTCTTCCCACAGGTTCAGGAAGCAAGGAATAGTATACCCTAGGATCAAATTGAGCATTTTATTGATGCAATGCCTCGTAGGTGCTGCCGTAATGAAAAATAATGGTCATGCTGTCGATTTCTAGCAAAAGTTGCTAAAGAAAAAAAGTTGGTTTAGTTTTGACCAAGCAACAATTGGGCCAATTTAATTTTCCATAGAATATTTTTTATTTCAAAATAAATTTTGAATTTATTTATTTCTTTAACTTCATTTTTAAAAAAATTTACCGACCATTTATTGAGTTTGCAATTTCAGTTGATTTATTTTTGTTCACCAATGTATATCCGCCACTGTTTCACCACAACTTGTGGCCAAATATAGGTCACATGCGAAAAGTGAATTTATCGGTTTATTATTTTTGGTACCTTCCTTAAAAAAAGATAAGAATCATTTAAGCGAATCATATATGGTCAACGCATTGCTTACCTTAGTATTTCAATTTAACATACATTTCGTGCAAATATAGACTATACAGGTCCAAGTTAGGGTAGCCTCCATTTAGCGGTACCCACACTTATTTAGAATTATTGAGATTTTGGACAGGCATTTCAACCAAATTAACCAAATTTGTATAGCTGGGTAGAAAGTATTCCTACCAAAAACAATAAATATTGGTAATTAATTTAATGTATCGGTCCGCCCAAACTTAACGACATTACTTGTTGTAAACCAACTAACACCACTTTTTTGAAATTTGGAACAAGGAATTCGGATGAACCCTATCGAGTTTGTCAAAAATTCGTTCAGATTAATTTACATTTCTAAATCTATCCGTTTGCCAGAAAATATTGCACAGGACAATCAGTTGGTATAAAAATGTATATATTATATATAAATTTCAAACGATTTCTTCCAAATTGTGCTACGTGCTTCAAATCAGTTGAATTTGCATATAGGTCCCATATAAACTTTTGTTCGATTTCGCGAAAGAATATCCTAGTTCATTTCAATAATTGACAAAAACTCCAGTAAAGAAGATAATTTGTTTTCTTCAAATGAGTGCAGATATTGTTCCCATGCCCAAGTTAGAAAATTCGATCTACCCCGATTTTGATTCTTTCTTACAGGTTACTGCAGTCGTTTCCAGTTTAATGGAAAAAAGTGTTTCTGTAGCCTTTTTGGGTTAGGAAGATTCTCTATATACGCATTTTCATTATTTTTGCATAAATTGCAATAACATGCATTCACATCCGCTTCTTCAATATTTAACGCTTTTAAACCAATATTATTGTTTCTAATATTTGGAAATTTGACATATAATAACATACATATATAAATATTCAAAATTCATACTTTTTACAAATAATTAATAAGATATTTCAGGAATTGCACATAATGTTATGTGTCACCAAGAAAACCCCTTTCCATTTTCCATCGTGTTGAAAACGCCTGACTTGAAAGAGAATCACTGCTTGCATCTAGACTAAACAACGACTATACTCGCAGCAATGTGAATCTCTTATGTCAAAAAACCCCAAGAGAACTCAGATGATAACGAGAATATTTGCCATGCAATGACGTTATAAAATTGGAATATTCAATGAAATTTCAGTCAGTCTGTATACATACGATAAAGAGTACGGCAACAATCCGGTTTTGAAAGTAACGCAAGTCGAGAAAATCGCAAATAAACACAAAATGGCAATATACAGCCTGAAAAAGAAATGCAATTCTGGCGTTTGTAAAGCATGGATATTTTGTAAGAAATTTTTGTATTTTGCAAAAAAACAATTATAAAATTTACAAGTGAATATACTCGTACATATACCTACATTCATCTAATAATTGTTTGTGGTTGTTTTTGTTTTTAGCTCTAATTGTGATGACATGTCTTCACTTGGCTGCTGCTCAGTGTAGTTCCCCAGAATGCATTGAACGCTTAAATTCCTTTGATAACAATAAGCAAAAAGATAGAGAAGACAAAAAACCCATACGGGCAACGAGCACAACCCCTGCCCCTGTACGCATACATTTTCCCGATGAAATGCAAAATGTCAAAATACCATCGGAGCGTTTTGACGTCAAGCTGTATCAGTTTATGGCAAATCCGGCAAGGGGCAAAAATCTGTGTATTTCCCCACTCTCTGTACAGGTGTTGTTAACATTTCTTTCGACCGTCGCCGAAGGCAAGCTGTATGACGAACTTATACAACTTTTGAATTTGCCCACAAATCAAACATTGGTGGCTCAAACCTACCAAAAGTTAACACAGTTACCAACGGACACAAACGATTCGAATACAATCATTCTGGGCAATAAACTCTACTATGATGAACGCTATGGTTTTCTGCGCCGAAATATTCGCAATGAGGCTCAACGTATATACGCCACCGATCTGGAATCTGTCGACTTTCTAATGCCCTCGAAGGCAGCCGACAAAATGAATTCTTGGGTTGCAGATAAAACACAGCATCTCATCGAGAACATTGTTACCTCGAATACGTTCAGAGCGAACACCATGGCGCTGTTAGTTAACACTGTTTACTTCAAAAGCGAATGGGACAATAAGTTTGCGGTGTACGATACAGCGATGCGTCCATTTTTTCTGAACGCTCGAACACAGATAGAAGTTGAGACCATGTACATGGAGGATATATTCCGTTATGGTGATTTTGAGCAACTAGGAGCCACAGTTTTGGAATTACCCTATAAACTTGATGACTTCACTATGATGATAATATTGCCAAAGGATATTGAAGGTTTGACCGAGGTTGAACGACGTCTATCGGATATAACTTTGAAATTGATTTCATATCGTTTGGAGCGGCGACAAGTTATTGTAAAAATACCGAAATTTAATATTGAATTTGAAGACAATATGATTCCAATATTACAACAAGTAAGTAGTTATTTTGCATATAGACATTCTTTAAAAGACAAATTTAAACAAGACAATCTAAAAAAATTTAAAAATGACAATACATTGGCACGAACTCTATCGAAATTTCAATAGACAGATGAACATGCCTAAATAACAAGATTTATACATGATCCACCTTATTGTGTGGGTTCTGAAAAATTATTCCTATTCAATTTAAAATGACATTCTAAATGCATAATAGCCCTTATCTATAATTTATTTGTGAAATATTTAGGTTTTAGTCATTCAAATTGTAAAATATTGGTCTAATTTTCGAAGAATCAGGCAATGGCATGTGGTATTCTTTTAAATATCAATATTGTTGAATGAAATTCCAACCTTTGTTGTTTTATAACAACAAACCATAGGGGAATCCCATGTATAATTGCATAAGAAACATGGAAAGGGAATACCATAATATGTACGCCAATTTGTAAACAATTTCAAAAGGCAAAACTAAAAAAAAACACATTCAATTAGCGCGAAAATCATTTCGTGTCGTATACAAATAATAATTCGGCTTAAAAATAAACAAGGGAAATGAGAAAGGCCGCGCCGAACATGTGATACCCTCCACCAGAGGTATACTGACAGCTATGTGTAATGAAGGTTCGAATTATGCTACAACGAATGAGGTTGGGAAGTGTGACTACAACCTGCGATGTATTGTAGAATAGATGCGAACTACGTTTTCCACGTACGTACTTTGAAACTACTGACGAACAGAAATTCTAAATTCCAGTTTCTTTTGATGGCAAAGGTTTCCAAAAAATTCCACTATAGGATGTTGACATTTATTTGCAATGAAGCTTCTCACCCCCACAAGGTAGTGTAACTTCGGATAATGTGGACCACCATTTTCTTTTTTTGATATTGTGGGTATACCAACGGTAAAAAATGTAAACAAATTGTTTTCACGACATAGTAGATTTGCCGTCTAAATATATTCCAGGTCAAACATTATAAATATTTGACTATAAAAATTTTATTTCATTATATTAAAAAAAACTCATAACTGCGAATAAAAACAAGTTGGTGGGTAATGTGGACCAGTAAGTTAAAAGGTAGGTTGTGGATTGGTTGTCATCAATTTTTATTTATTTCAATATTGGATAACAATGAATGTAAAAATATATGGGTATGAACCCATATATTTTTTAAAATAGCCCCCATTTGCGGTATTTTGATGATCCTAGCTTCAATATCCAACCGAAGCAGCTGTAATTTCGCATATCGAGTTTTCAGAGGATAGAACACCTCCTCATTGAAATGTTTTTAATATGGGACCAAGATTGGAACTTATCCCCATGAAAATGTTCCGTTTTTTATAGTGGTCCACATTACCCGACTTTGAATTGTGTGGTACCGGATGAGGGCTACCCTGAAACTTGGGTCAATATTGGGTCATTTTTGGTATGAACATATGTTATTCTTATAGAAACTAAAATATCAAATAACAGCAAGTTCGGTTGGAAAACGTGTCCAAAATCCCCTGCTACCCTGAAACTTGGGTCAGTGTTAATAATATTTGATACGGAAATATGGTATGCTATGAGAACCCAAAATACCAAATTACAGCCAATTCAGTTGAAAGACGTGTCGAAATCCCCAAAATACCGAGTTTTGGTGAGTACCGTAATATGGGGGCTACCCTAAAACTTGGGTCAATATTAATAATTTAGCTAGGAAGACACACCAAATTTATAATTTTGTACTAGAGTGATTTCGTAATAAAAGGGAATCGAAAATATCAAATTATAACCATTTCGGTTGAAAATGTGATATTGAAGCTATCAAAATATCAAATTATAACACAAAATACCAAATTACAGCAATTTCAGGCGTTTCAAATGGGAAAATTCAATTTGCAATTCATAACATTTCGTTAAAATGTACAACAATTCATTTGTAATTTTAAACTTTTCATATGTAATTCAAATAAATGGTAATTTGTAAATTTTTATTTGAAATTCGTGAAATTCAATGAACTCAATAAATTCATAAAATTTCGTTATATGGTTGGCTACACCAAATTTATAATTTTTACTAGAGTGATTTCGTAATAAAAGGGAATCCAAAATATCAAATTATAACCATTTCGGTTGAAAATGTGATATTGAAGCTATGTCAACAAGTGAACTAGTACTAACAATTTCTGCCAACAAATTCAGCCGAAACCACAAAAGTCAAGAATGAAGCTTAACGCCATTGGAGACATTGGTACACAATTTAGAACATTTATACGGGAGCAATATATATAGTTCATCCGTACAAAAAGCAACATTCCATGCAACTTTTCTAATAAATCGCACAATCCTAGGATTTTTTGTGCAGTCACATGAAATCGGACGTATATACAGGATATAAACATTGATACCTAAATAATAGTTAAAAGCTAAGATTCGTGCTACTCTGCCAACTCTATTGTCTTTAAATTTGTATCCCCTCTTATCCCACAGTGGCTAAGAGTCCATATTATGACACTTTTATGTTGAACTTTTCCATTTTTTTTTTATAAAAATGTTTTTGTTTCCATCAAATGTATAGTTCTCATTAAATAAGTATATTTAACCTATCAACATATTATTTTATAGTTGGGTATACGTTCTCTCTTTAATCGCGATTCTCGGATTAACATATTTAAACATGAATCGGATCCATTGATTGTGGATCAAATGAGACACAAGACTGTTATCAATGTCAATGAAGGTGGTACAGAAGCTGCAGCAACTACTTGTAAGTACCTCGAGATTGAGGCAACATCTATGATTATTATAATTTATTTTAATATTAAGGCTAAATGAAAATACATATTTTAATTCTTGTTTTACAGATGCAAAAATTGTACCCTTGGCAATACCAGTGGGTGTAATGCGGTTTACAGCCGATCACCCCTTTATATTCGTTATACGAAATTCTCAAGCTGTGTACTTTATTGGGCATGTTGTGGAGCTTTAGAAATAAATGAAATGAAAGTAATTTAACTTTTTGGAATTTCCAATAAAAATACTACAAATACATAAATTTTAACACTTTTACTATCCATATATATTCAAGTATTTTCTTTATGTATACATTTCAAGTAAAGAGTCTTTTAGGTATGTAAAAGTTCCGGACATTTTGAGTGATTTTTCCACCACACGTTTTCTTCATTGTACTTGAAAAATGTTAACTACGTCAAGAATGTCATAAATATTAAAAGTTTATTATGCAACTTGTGTTTTGTATTTTTGCTTAAGTCCAAAACATTTTCGCTTCTTAAATTTCAAATTGTTCCACCCACATAGCAACGCAATGCAGCATCTCGCAAGAAGTGTAGAATAATATAAATATTTTACTATAAACCTTAATAAACAGTATTAAATAATACAAATAAGCATTCTTCTCAGTAATAAAGCATAAAAATTGCAGTAACCTAATATTTTAGGTGGAAACTATACTTGCGGTTTTAGCAATATGGTTAAAAATACTGTTAACTTTCATTCAACCAAAAAACGCCTGTATATGTTTATGAACAAACTCTTCCAACAAATCACTATTTTGAACGATCTACGTTTCACAATAATAACTTCAAGGCAGATTGATATTTAATTCGTCATCTGTGGTGTTGATTTATTACTACGACTAAGAGGGCAAAATGTTATTTTGCAAACGGAATGACAAATTTAATATACACTCCTCCTTATGGTTGAGGGTATAAAAACAACAAACTGGGTTACGCACATCCCAAAAAATATTCTACAATAAACCATAAGTACATTTAACTTTAAAGTCCCTTGTGGAGAAAAATCGATACTTTCGTAATGGCGCAAAAGTTATTAAAGTTATCTTAAAAATTATAAATGACAAGTGGTCATAATGAAACCAGTAAGGAAAGTAGTAAAGTCGGGCTGGGCCGACTATATGATACCCTTCACCGATTTGGGTATATTCTACATATGTATCCAGCTTAGCAACATCATTTTAGACTTAATTCAGTACTTCAGTAGTGTTGGCGGTTTATTTGGGATACCATTTGTATTTTGTTTTTACAAAAAATAACTATTTATTAGTGAGGAATGTATGGCATTGATTGCCGAGGGGTAAGGCAGGGAAGACTATAGTTTCGGATCACGCCACTGATCCTCATCAGTTCCCTTAGTTTTTTTGTTGGGATATTCTCCCCAGAAGCTATTGCTTCTATACAAAAAAAAAACTTTCATACCCAAATGTCTCTTGTAACAAAGCGAAGTACTTAGCTGACCAACGTACCCTATACCAAAATTCGTGCAAATCGAAAGATATATAGGGACTTTGGTGCACCAATTACATAAAATCGGACGAAAATATATATGGGAGCTATATCTAAATCTGAACCGATTTTCACGAAACTTTGCAACATCATTCTAGACTTAATTCAGTACGCTATGCCAAAATTCGTGCAAATGAAAAGATTTCCAGGGACTTTGGTGCACCAATTACCTTAAATCGGATGAAAATATATATGGGAGCTATATCTAAATCTGGACCGATTGTCACGAAACTTTGCACACATCATTCTAGACTCAATTCAGTACGCTATACCAAAAGATTTCCAGGGACTTTAGTGGACTATTTACCTAAAATCGGGCGAAGCTATATATGGGAGCTAAATCTAAATTTGTACTGATTGCCACGAAACTTTGCACACATCATTCTAAACTTAATTTAGTACGCTATGCCAAATTTCGTGCAAATCGAAAGATATATAGGGACTTCTGTACACAATTTACCTTAAATCGGACGAAAATATATATGGAAGCTATATCTGAATCTGAACCGATTTTCACGAAACTTAGCATACATCATTCTAGACCTCATTCATTATGCTGTGCCAAATTTCGTGCAAATCGAAAGATATGTAGGGACTTTTGTACACAATTTACCTTAAATAGGACGAAGATATATAAGGGAGCTATATCTAAATCTGAACCGATTTTCACGAAACTTGGCATACATCATTCTAGACCTTATTCATTACGCTGTGCCAAATTTCGTGCAAATCGAAAGATATATAGGGGCTTAGGTACACAATTTACCTTAAATCGGACGAAGATATATATGGGAGCTATATCTAAATCTGAACCGATTTTTATGAAATTTTACACACATCATTCTAGACCTAATTCATTACGCTGTGCCAATTTTCGTGCAAATCGAAAGGTATATAGGGACTTTGGTACACCATTTACCTTAAATCGGACGAAGATATATATGGGAGCTATATCTAAATCTGAACCGATTTTCACGAAACTTGGCATACATCAGTCTAGACCTTATTCATTACGCTGTGCCAAATTTCTTGCAAATCGAAAGATATATAGGGACTTTTGTACACAATTTACCTTAAATCGGACGAAGATATATATGGGAGCTATATCTAAATCTGAACCGATTTTTATGAAATTTTACACACATAATTCTAGACCTAATTCATTACGCTGTGCCAATTTTCGTGCAAATCGAAAGATATATAGGGACCGTTTACATTAAATCGGACGAAAATATATATGGGAGCTATATCTAAATCTGAACCGATTTGTCCCAATTTCAATAGGGTTCGTCCTTGGGCCAAACAAATGAGCTGTGCCAAATTTCATCCAATTCGGATCATAAATGCGACCTGTACTTTGTTTACAATTTAACATCTACAGACGGACAGATGGACAGACGGACATGCATAAATCGACTCAGAAAGTGATTCTATGCATATTCTCAAAAGGAACCATGGGTCTATCTCGATTATTTTTGCCTGTTACAAACATATGCACAAAGACATAATACCCTGTACCACAGTGTGGTGAAGGGTATAAAAACTAGTATGACATTTTGTATTGGTTGTTGTGAACGGGAAAGAGTCAAAATAATACTAAAGTAAAAAATTAAAAAATACGATTTTGTTTTACTTGTTTACTTATATTTTAAGATTTTGTAAGTATTCACATACATAGCTCTGTTCCGAAATCTAACAGAATATTCTTGCGAAATAATCCCTCCTCTAACTTATTTAAGATGGAAAATGCAAAAATCCAATTCTGCTCTAATTACAGATTAATATCATTTTTTTTAAATATTTTCAAAACATCTTCTAAATAAATAAATGATGTAAACATAAAGAACAAAATATAAACGAGAAAGGTCAGGAATGTGTCAATGCAATTTTGTTATTCAATTTTCGAAAAAAAACTAAAGACCATTTAAAATAAATTTCAATAAAAGAGTCACTCATTTTTTTTCTCAGCATCTCTTTTGCTGTGACGTGAACCTGTTTTTCTGCGAAGAGGCTATTTGTTGAGCTATTATCAGTTGTGTTGTTGTTGTCGTCGTCGTTCCCTAACAAATTAGTACAAATTATCACACCATCTATACAAATCATATTTTACGCTACACAAATTTAAATGAAACGCTTACAGATTAGTCACTTTGGGAATACATATTTCAGATGTGAAGGGTATAATTTGTTCGGTCATTACTAAACATTTGACTCTATAATTTATTTTAAAGCGAGTATTTATTGCCAATCAATTTGCATACGAATTTTGAGGCTTGCGTTGTTGACATACACTTAAAGAAATTGTTGTTGGCGTTGACTTAAGAAATTACTAAGCCATTTTAATTGAGAAAAAAATCACTCTGCAAATATTTTGTTTTGAATCCCTGTTTTTTCGCGTTTAAATATACTCTCCACATAACGGTACCCCCGCATTTTCGATATGTTGAATGTTTATCCATATTTTTAATATATTGTAAGTTATCTTGCAGACGTTGGCGGTATACGTTCAATTTTCGTTATTATCTCGCCTGTGTTTCATTATAGATGCAGTATTAGCCACAGTGCTGTATTCACACAGTGGTATTAGAAACTTCAATATTTTTCATTCGATGTTTTCTAAATAATAAGAAAATAGCTAATTTGTTCTATATAGGTCCACGCTTTGGAATTAGGAAACCTCTTATATATTGAATATTTTGTAATTCTTATTGAATTAAATATTTTCTTATACAACATTTTAAAGTTCCTAGTTAAACTTTTCCACATAATCCAGACTACATATATGTAATTTCACCCCTCAATTTAAATATTTTAACGATCATAGCCACGATCATATGTAACTGGACAAATCGATGTCCGAATCGGGATCGAATTAAATCTGTCCCGAAACACCGAGTTATGGAAATGTAAACACACCATCGCTTATCGTGGCTTTCAGTCCTCAAATCGAATTTCGTAGTCTGTTTAAGATCTGGTTGTATTTACACTCAATCTTAAACTTAGCAAGAGATTTTTTCTCAGTGTAACTAAAAAATAAACTCACTCATATTTTCTCACTAAATTTACACCAAACTTTGAGCATCGTTTTCGTAAGAAAATTAGACTAGTTCATGTGATAAAGCGTTAGTATTGATTTATACTTGAACGAGTAAACGCAAAATTTCAAGAACATAGAAGTGACATAAATTTCGAAATAAATATGAAGTGGTACTTGTGTAAGAAATTTCATTTTAATTTATTATTTAAAATAAATATTCAATGTCAACGAAAAATTCATTTTTTCAGCTGTACTTGTAGCCTTGCTGGCCATTGTGGGTTTAAGTCAAGCAGCTACTTCTTCGTTGGCCACAAATGTCGCCCAAACCATCGATCGCAATATATTTGCAGCCGATTTTTATAATGCAGTTGCTTCGGAAAAGGTAAATGACAATGTCGTAGTCTCCCCAGCAGCCGTGCAAATTTCTATGGCTTTGGCTTTTTACGGTGCCAAGGGTAAGACAGCCACCGAAATGCAAACCGGTTTGCGTTTAGGTTCCAGTGATCCCGAACAAGTGGTACGTCGATTTGCCGATTTCCAGCAGACTTTTGCCAGAGACAACAACATTCGTTTGGCCAACAATATCTACATCAATGAAAATCTAGAATTCAAACAAAAATTCAAAGATGTTGCCCAACGTGATTTTGATTCGAATATAGAAAAGGCCGATTTCCATCCACCCTACAACAAGAGAACCGCAGATCGCATCAACAAAGCAATGGAAACAAAGACTGCAGGAAAAATAACCAATATTTTGGATCACAATCTGTTGCAAGATTTGACCGAGGGTGTCATCGTCAATGGCATAAGTTTCAGTGCCCCCTGGCAAAAGGCTTTCCGTACGGACAAAACATCGCGACGTTCCTTCTCCGCTGGTGGACGTCAAACCATTCAAGTGGACACCATGTGGACTTTGAACAACTTCAATTATGGCGAATACAAAAATTTGGATGCCAAAGCCATTGAATTGCCCTATCAGAACACCGACTTCTCCATGGTTATCATTTTGCCTAATCGCAAAGATGGTTTGCGTGATTTGTTGCAATCACTGAAGAGCAAGAATTTGGTGGCCGTTCTCGATGAAGGTTTCAGCTCGCAAAAGGTTGAAGTGTATTTGCCCAAGTTCAGTGTGGCATTCAACACAAATCTCGAGGAACCCTTCAAAAAGGTAAGAATAACAAATCACCTTGGCCATTCATAAAATACATTGGAGGAGTAATAAATTGTATCCCTTTTCACAGTTGGGTGTCACTACCATGTTTACACGCCAAGGTGACTTTGGCAATATGTATCGTATGTTTGTTAGCCACTACATCAACAGTGCCAATCACAAAGCCTATGTTGATGTTTCGGAAACGGGTGCTGAGCAGCCATTGGAATCTGGAGGTGAGTAACGAAACACAACGAAAAAAAAAACGATCGACCAATAATCCGATTGTCAAATAAAAATGTTTTCCTTCCTTTCTCGTTGCTGTTTAGGTTTGAAAAATCTGTTCTCACGTACAAAGAAATTTGATGCAGATCATCCGTTTGTCTTTGCCATCAAACACAAGGATTCCGTGATATTTATGGGTCATGTCGCCAATTATGCCTATGTTTAAGTGTTATTGAGATTTTGTGGAATAAATTTATTCCGAAATTGTTCACAGTTATACAATGAGTGAAAACAAATAAACTAATAATGACGCAAATGTGTGTGTGTGTGTTCATGTGATAAGAAGTGACATGAGTGACCTAGGTTTGTATATTAGCTGTGTTATCAGTACAGAGAAATTAAATGGAAATTAGAAATTCCAGAAATTTTGTTATTCACACTAAACAATTGGGGAAGATATATTACTCAGAAGGTAGGCATCATAAAAATACAAACCTACAATAGACCGTACATTTCTCTTATTCTCAGCTTCTGATGAGATATCGATTTTCAGTTATGTTCTTATTGTTTTCTGGACTATTTAAAGTTTGTTTCTTTTTTAATTGAAAACAAAATAATAAAAACAACATTAATAAATAACTTTATTTAAGAGAAAAGTTGTTTGTGCATATGCCTGTACATTATTCAAAATTTGAAGATTTTAACACCAGTAGTTATTTGGTTTATTTTCAGTATTATACAATTTGCAATATGTGCTCATACTAAATAGCAGATAAAAAACTTAATGTGACTCTATTAATTAAAATAACAATTTTAATTAATTCGTAAATAAATCAAAAAATTATGTTTTGTTGACAAATATGTTCGTTCGTTCGCTCGCGTTATTAGTTTTTAGCCATATAATAAAAGTGGTCTGTATCTTTGGTTCGAGTTTATTTTTGCATATTTCTAACCGGTTAATAATGAAATGTAATAACCTTTGATTGTCTCCAATCAATGCAGTTCACTTTTTTATTAACAAATTTTATTATTCACTTCTAATCATGGAACTAATTGGAATTGGTTCGTGTGTGTGGGCTAGGCATTCAGTTATTTACAAATGTTTATTTAAATAAATTAATCATGTGAGTGAGAAATAGGAAAACACATTCTAGTCGAAAATGAGGTACTCTTTACTATATTATGTATTAGGGTATTTGTTGGCCGAGCTACGTTTTAGTAGACTTTGACTCAATAGAGTTGGAAATAAATTTGTATACACCCTAAGTAAACTATATACTAGGAAGCAAAACTAAATTTAAATTGATCAACTACTTTGCATATAGTCAAGAATCTTAATATATAGAAGAGCTTCGCGATAAGTGAGTGACTGACAGACCATCGCCCAGACAAAACTGCTGAAGCTAGAAGCAGAAAAATTTGAGAGTGTGTTGTTGTTGTGTATGGTGTGGGAAAAGCTTGGGTTTTTGGAAATTCGAGCTAGAAGAGTACGAAAAGTAAACATGACACCCTTTTATTAGGCAAACGGGGTCGAAAACTTCTAAATGATATAAAATTTGGACTTGTAATGGATAGAGCTGAAATTATGAAATTTGAAATAAAAATTACTGTTGAAGTTTTGATTGAAGTAGTCATAAAAAATCGTATTAATTGGAAAAGTTTTACATATTACTAAATTTGGTACAATTTGGATTTGGGTGAACAGATGGAGGTTGAATCCACAACGTTTTTTGAAGGTATGTGAAACCTGTAGGTACTTGCTAAAATTGATAATTGGACTCTGATCACTTTTAAATCAATATAATAGAAATTAAAGAAAACTTTTCGGAAATGAGAAGAGCACTAAATGGTAATAAACTCCATATTACCACTGAGCTCTAAGTTTCTGCGAATCTATATTCCGAACCTGAGTAATATTTCGCGAAATTTGCACCCTCTTGACCGATTAGAGGCCAACAGCTCCTCAGCGGCATCTTCTTCGAATCATGATTTCCGGGAATAAAAAATTACTTTATACGATTAAAATATTGATATTTTTCACAAAAACCCGCTAAATATTGACCTTATCTAGAGATTGGCAATAGGTAAAACCTCGGCAATTCCGTTCCTGGGTATCTTCTACATTGAATCGGTAATACATGTATTTCCGGGTTTCTGTTATCTAATCGATTTAGAACGGATAGTTTTACGATACATTAAAGACGTGGGTAAATACTAGAGTACTAAAATATTAGTATAAACTCATTAATTGGCGAACCTCTTGGCATAGGCGGTCAAATTTGGCTCAAGTTTTTGGTAGGGATCCTTGGGTCCAAGTTTTGGTATTTGTTGTCTATTAGACACATTTTAGGACTTGGCACAGAGAGTTCTCTTTCGGTACCAAATATCCATACAAAAATTTATCGATGTAGGTCCATGGTAGCCCCCATACAAAGGTACCCCTATTTTGAGTATTTACCCAAAAATTTTGTATAAACTCATTAACTGGCGAATCATTTGACATAAGCGGCCAAAATTTGGCTATGTTGGTTTTTATCTCAATACAATTATTGGTATGGGAAATGGGGTCTCTGGGTCAATTGCGTGCTCTAGAGCGTCCAGAAACACAGTCAAAAATAAAGTTTTTGATCCATTCAACCCCTACATTTTAGCCCATCATTACCAAAAACAATATGGATCCTCTTTTATCAGAAACGGTCCTACATGCAAAATTTTAATGGATAAATTTGAAATTGCAAAATTATAATGGACGGATGGACACATCGACTCAGCTAGTCGAGATATGATCGGTATACTAAAAGGTGGGTCTGGGACTAATATTTCACGGCGTTACAAACTCTTGGGGCCACACAAAGCTATAATACCATTACAACATACTTGTGTAGGGTATAATAGTTACGAAGGGGGCCGAGCCCCCTAGCACAGATGGAAGGACCGTTTCAGACAATTCCTTACATAGAGATTTTCAGTCCACTACACATCAATTTATTCGTATTTGTTGGTTCCCAATAAACAGAAAACCTCCTTGACCCAACCGATACTGATAGGAAGAAAACCACTCATCTAAACCTAAGTTTATAGGCTTTGTTTAAGTGCAACTGAACCGACACAGAATTTTTTATACCCAGCACTATGAAGGGGGAATTCAAAATTGGTAAAATGGGCGGTGCCTTTATTTGGGTCTTTACCAAAACGTTGACTGAGATATCCTGGGAGAAGCAGAAATGTAGGTATGAGCATGGTAAAGGTTTGATGTCAGTTACGTCCTTTTGACATGAAGACGTAACTACAACACAATTATAGTACAACAAAGTGACCAATAATTATGCGATTGAGACTAAAATTTGTACAGCGTACCAAATTGAGTCTAGAGTGACGTGTGTTGAGTTTTGTTGAAATCGGTTCTGATTTAGACATAGCTCCCACATATATTTTCGTCCGATTTTATTTAAATGATGCATTGTAGCCCCTATATTTCTTTGGATTTACAAGAAAGTTTCGTGAAAATCGGTTCAGATTTAGATATAACTCCAATGCACATTTTCGACCGATTTTATGTAAATGTGGCACTAAAGACATAAAATATTTCTTCGACAGCGATATAACTTTACACAACGTACTTTTTGGAGTCTAGAATGACGAGTATTGAGTTATTTTTTTAATTGATTTAAATATATCACATATATTTTCTGCCATTGTATATAAAAGTTTTTAGCTGATTAGTTAAAAAATGAAGAAGAGCCTTAAAATATGATGACGATATACATCAGACAAGTTATTAATATCTTTGGGTTTGAAAGGATTAAGTTTGGCCAAGCGAATATTTATTAACTCTGTGGTCTCAAGTTTAGTTACAAATGTGTAGCTGTAGGTGTAGGGTCGATTACGCCAACTTCATTGAAATATAAAAGTAAATAATGAACATACCTTTCTAATTCCGGAGCATTTGTCGTTTGAAAGTTATCCATTTTGATGTAGTCTCCAACTGGGTATCCTTCGATATAAATTAGAATTTATGATGCTATGGTCACAAACAATTTATTTAAATACACACACACACCCAAATTCACATACTTAGGTAAAATACTTTTTTATATTATGATTTTCAGAAATAAATTTACTGATATTCGCACAATATGTAGCTGCTTGAACTAGCTTAACACAAATACACACAAATTATTTATGTATTTTTTCTTCAACACATATGATGCAACCTTTTTTTATTCAAAATTTTGTTTAATAAACTTAATTCTAATTCCATGATTTATAAATAAGATTTTATGGAATTTATTCATTTTAGTATAATAATGACCACCAGCAGCTTTGTTTGCTGATATTTTTTATGGATTTATTTTTCCAATTTATTATTATTTTTATTTCATGACAAATATTTATGATTTTGTAAATTTGTAATTTCCTGATTTGTCGAATTTTATTGCTGTTGTCATTTTTATTTTTGTTTTATTAGTTGTGTTTTATTGACTGGAACAGTATTTATGTTTTTTTCTTTTTTGAGCATTTTGATTTTGTTGAACGATTTTTTAATTATGATGGGCTAGCCTACTGACGAACTGATTAACCACAAATCTAGTTGTCTTAACTGGTTGTTATTTCGATTTTATCTGCTTTAGTATTTATTCATTGTCGTGTTGAGGAGAGGTTTTATTACAGCTTTTGAATGGGACTTTAAACGATTAATTCGCTTTTTATTGCATTTTCATGGAGGCACTTTTATTGATTCCTTCTTTCTTATTTTTGGTTGGATGCCCGGCTGGTCGGTTGGTTGGCTGTTTCCTTGGCAAACGGTTTTTCGGTTTAATGAGCGAAATATTTCTTTATTCGCTGTACTTGGTTATGGGCCAGGAAAATCCAAAACATCAACAACAACAACAGCAACCTCGTTGAAATGAAACTAACGATGTCTTGGGACACATTCACTCTCGAAAGTAAGAAACGCGCAAACAAAAAAAGAACGACAAGAACGTTGGCTGATAATTCTTGAGGCTTAAATTGCATAAAAAACCATGCCACTGCCACAACTGCAACTACAACAAGAATAGCAGCAATGGCAACAACAACAAAAATAAATAGATAACTACCAACGACAGCCTTCAAAGTATTCGGTTGTGATGCCGCAATTGCCACTGTGTTGGCCGGTTATATTTCTTGGTTTGTTGTTGAGACGTACCGTCGGTCAATTGCACTTTTTCACGTATTTCTATAAGTGGTCTTGTTGTTGCCGTT